TATCTCAAATGGTTGGTGGTCAGTCCCATACAAATTTCGGTGCAAGGACATGACCATTTCTTTCTCTGTCTGTACTGAAAAAGATTCAGCCCAAAGAAAATTTGCGGAAAAGTTGAAGCTGGGCAAAGAGATTGAATTAACATTGTAACTTTAGTCTTGTTTATTAAAAGTACAATTTTAACTATTTATCTGAGTTTTCGACGTCATGTGTTGAAATAAGCCACAACGGCCAGAATACTTCGGCATATGTTACGAAATTATTTAACGAATTAAAATAAAAATGACTATATAACTTTTATACACCGTGTCTGTTGTTTGATCCCTTTCAAATGAATGAAATACTGTTTAAACTAACCAGACCTGGTTCTGTAAATGAATGAAATACTGTTAAAACTAACCAGACCTTGTTCTGTGAATGAATAAAATACTGTTAAAACTAATTACACCTGGTTCTGTAAAGAACAGTGGAGATTTGTGACTGGTACCCGGATAAATTCACTTGATTTGATAAATATGTTTTTCATTTATTATATAAATTGTATGTGTATATATTGTGTGTATTGTCCACGTGTTTGTCATGAGTGTATTTTGTTTATGTGTGGTGCGGTCCTCCTGTCCTATCAATAGACTAGTATTGTTGTTATTCAGCTTGTACATGTCACCTGTATTAAGATACACTGTATATAAGAAATATTATATCAGGTTGTTATTCACCTATTCTTTTGTTGTTGGTGAGTGAAGCTATAAATATATAATATACAGGTAGCCTATAGAAATATGTTTATAATATATATCTAACATATTCAAACTCAATCAACCGTTAACGAGAAACCAACAGTCCTATTCGGTATTAATTGATGAAACTATAATATATACACCTGTACAGGTAACATACAGGTAGTCTATAGAAATATGTGTATAATATATATCTAACATATTCAAACTCAATCAACCGTTAACGAGAAACCAATAAAAATAACCCTCTATACATATTGGTGTTCATGTACAATAAACCTGGACAACCGAAATTGGTGTTCATGTACAAGACAACCTGACAGTTGGAATTAGAATCTAGTAGAGTGATCTATAACGTGGATGATAACTAAAGAGAATGAGATGTGGTTTTGTTGTCTTAGTTATCTAGTAGACTGTTTACCCGCAAGACTGCAGTAAACTCTAGTGTTTTAATCGTTTTGAATTTCTGAGAAATTGTAGCAAGTTAATATATGTTGACACTGACACCCTGACGTATAAATGTAGATATTATCTGGTTTGCTCGACGAATTTACATTGATGTTGATTGAAACAAAACATTAAGTATGACTGACCGGGGAAGTAGAAATATCTCAAATACCCCTTATATACAGTCCAATACCACATGTATATCTCACTTGTATACAGTTTGTTTACGTATTAACTGTCGTAGTTTAATATCACGTGATTGATGACCTCGGGGTCAAGGCAGGATAAAGTGTTCGAGGTGACTCGTGACGTCCATGTTGACTAGAGAGAAGAAGTTGTTGTATTGTTGTGTCAGTGATCTAGTAGACTAGTTACCTGTAAGACTGTAAACTATACAGTTCTAATAGTTTTGATTTTTATACCGTGTTTTATATTGGACTAACTGATTCATTCTGTATTTTATACAACCCGTGGAACAGTAAGACTGTAAACTACACTGTCGTATGTTATATCTGACTACTGATTGATTCTGTAGTTTTATCCTGTTTCAACTCGTGTTGTATTCAACATGGCTAAACAGACAGATAAAGACGTGTGCATGATTTGTTTACATGATTTTGAAACACCGGTTTTGATAGATTGTCAACATACTTTTTGTTTCATCTGTTTAGAAGATTATGTGAACAAAACCTCTACTAAAGACCAGTTCCAATGTCCATTATGTCGGTGTCTTATAGACGGGGGTATACAGCGTTTTAAACCTAAACTAAACATTGATGACAATTCTACTATTCCACAATGTGATGTATGTACTAAAGATACATGTCAATATTTTTGTCGAGACTGTGATCAATATTTATGTAAATCATGTAAAACCATGCATGATAAGTTAAAATCTTGTAAAGACCATGTTGTTTGTCGATATGATGAAAAACAAGTCTGTCAACAATCAAACGAACCAATGAAGGAAAAGACAACAGCCACTTCCGTCACACATCCGAAAGATTTCTGTCCAAACCATGAAGGAAAGAAAGTAAAAATTTACTGTAAAGATTGTTCACTAGCCGTGTGCTTGAATTGTCTCGTGACCGATCATAACGGACATAATTTGTTAGATTTACAGAAGGATGAAGTCAGACAAAATATCAGACAAGACCTAAAAACTCTGAATGACGATTTAGAAAAACAAATTACCAATTTTCAGAAACATTATGATAATTTGAATAGTAAATTGATTGAAGTAAACAACTGTACAAAATCAGAGTGTGACAAAGTAGATGCACAGGTGGATAAAATCTGCTCAGAATTCCGTAAACTTGGAGAAAATATTAAAAAGGAAATGCAGAAAACTAGTGAACAAGAAGAATCCAAATTTGGGAAATTAATGGAGGACATTAAAAGACTAACCGAAGATTTAAAAGCTAGTGTTAAATATTCAGTGAATGTTTTAGAAGATTCGTCTGTTGTTCAAGTTCTACAAAGATTACCTAAAGTTAGACAGGAGAAAGATGAAAGTTGTTGTAGAAAATTGGATATACCTGATGTAAGATATTCAACATTTCAAGTAGTAGAGATAGATAAAACTTTGTTAACTAATCAACTTGGTAAAATTGTAAGTTGTCATCAGAATATGTTTGAAGATGTTTTTAATGTTGATACTGTGAGAGGTATAGTGTTTGGTAAACAACATGTAGTTTCAGGTTTTACATGGCATATCTCTGTGTACTCATCACCATTAGATGTTATATTAAACCTGAAAGACGTAGAAGATAAAAGTATTACGTCATGTAAAGTTGACGTCACATATAAAGTTATAAATAAAACAGATGATAGACAATCTGTAGTTAAACAATGTAATGAGACTGCTGAACCTGGTGATTGGGTCTGTTGTACTGATCTTATTGACTGGGATAGACTCAGTAATCCTGTCAGTGGATTTATTGATGATCATAGAAACTTTACAATTCAAACAACAATTAATAAAATAACTAACATTGTACGAGATTAATAATTAGGTTACTGTTATTCTGATTAAAACTATTAACTTATGACCAATGTTCCTTTACAATTAAAGTAATAAATAATAATTGAACTTCTATCTGAATTATGTTTAGATAATCTACTCATTATCATGCAAGGGAGATAACCTGTTTTCTCGCGGACTCCGCAATATTCAATGCTATTAGTTGACCCAAATGTTTTCAATATATATTGATGACTCATGTAACCAAAGCTAGAAAATAAATTCAATTTTAAAATCGATTCGGCCTCTATCGCTCACCCTTTAATGCAAGGGAAAAGTTCGGGAAAAAACTCTACCCACGTGCAACACTGAGAAAATGGGGTCAAGTGACTGTACTCATGAGTATCGATATAAATTCCGGTTTGTCCACAGTTAATACTTATTCTGATAAATACTACATGAACGTAACTTATTAAACACCAAAAACACTTCAATGTATGCCAGGCGTGTGGGGGTTTTGACCTGTATAACACCCATGACGTCATAGTTTGGGGCCTAAAAATGGCGGTTGAAAGTGTAAATGACGTTTCGTGAATAAATATTCCTGGTAGTGTTTCGTTTGATGGAACCACAAATTATGATTGGTCAATACTGGGACCAACGACCAGTACAATTTGTGTCCCAAATTATGATTGGTCAATACTGGGACCAACAACCAGTACAATTTGTGTCCCAAATTATGATTGGTCAATACTGGGACCAACAACCAGTACAATTTCTGTCCGACATTATGATTGGTTAATACTGGGACCAACAACCAGTACAATTTGTGTCCCAAATTATGATTGGTTAATACTGGGACCAACAACCAGTACAATTTCTGTCCCAAATTATGATTGGTCAATACTGGGACCAACAACCAGTACAGTAAAAAAAAATCAATCGGGATTCTCCAGGGAATAGAAACCACACCAATTGACTCAATGACAGATCTTCACGTGCAAGTGTTAAACCACAGGACCACCCAACCCTGACCCTACAATTTATTATAATGGAGTCAATATTTCTTCATTATTCAAGTTACACACGGCTGAAAAGTTTGTTTATTTGGTTGTAATTTGGTCTATTTGAAGACAAACAAAATGAAATGAAATTGGGTTTAACGTCCTACAGTTCTGCTCCGAACTGGGCTAATGAAGACGGGCATACACCATACAGTGTGCTATGAGGGAAATTTTGCCCGGGCAGCGGCGCTACGGCATACTCTTATATCGAATTCCAACTGTCAAGGGATCTTTTATGTGCACGCCAATGTGTACACGGGATATCATTTTTTCGTCCAATCCAAACTACTTGACAACTATCCTTGTCAGGCCCTCTGGCTTGCATCAGTGACATGGGGGAACCACGCCGGAAAATATGGAAGAACTTTCTCGGCCAATGCTGGGATCGAACACCCTACCTCCAGGCTAGCGAGCCAGTGTCTTACCCACTTAGCCACCGTGATTCCCAATTGAAGACAAACACATAAAATGGTAATGCTGATGTCAACCGCCGTGATCCCACTGGTTTATAGCTCACACAATCAACTTGGCAAAACATGAACAGAAACTGATCATCATCGAACTTAGTCAAGGTATGGATTTAATAGAACTATTAATCAAGTCTCCACACCATTATCAAACTTAGTCAAGGTATGGATATAATTGAACTAATTATACTCCAGCAGGTATAAAATTAATTATCTCTACTTAGCCTAAGCAGAAACAACTAATCACAAACATTCACCTAATAAACAACAACAAGTTGGGACATTCAACATGGCGTCTTAGATACAAACAAACAAACATGTTAATACAATATATTCTATTATATTAGCAGTAGTATATTCATGTGATATATACAATATTAGGTTATGTTTAATACACAACATTATGCCTGTATTATATACAAATTATACAATTAATACACAACATTATGTCTGAATCGTAAACAATGGCTACCTCCTATTATTACAGTTGTTCTCTCAAATTTCAGTATCAAGCACATTAGAAACTGATTGAAATGTCTGATAAATAAACCAGATACAAACAGTTATGTACTATTCTGTCTGATAAATAAGTCTACAAAACACTGAACAAATCTTCAGGATCTATATTAGATACATTAGAATTATTAGAACTACTTTTACTCATCCGACCTCGACCACCATCATAGCTAAAAATATAAATATATATATATTATATGAATTATATGATTGACATTAAATAATATAAAATGGGGTTTAACGTCCTACTGTTCTGCTCCGACAGGGCTAATGTAGATTGTAGCACAAATTAGAAATTTGCTCGATTCTGATTGTTCGAAAAATGTAGTTGGGTGGTCTAGTACAACCAGGGATTCGAAACCACGCCAGTTGACTCAATGACAGACCTTATGATACAACATGCAAATGCGAACCATTATAAATTACCCCTCATTGGATGTATTTCTAGTTATTTTAGATAAATTATGTTTATAACAGTAATTACCTCTCATTGGACGTATTTCTAGTTATTTTAGGTAAAATAGGTTTACTTGGTGTCGCTGTTCTTACACTTCCTCTCTTTCTAGCTGACCTTAAAAATACAACATAATAACCATAATATTCACATATAGTTACCATAACAACCATCTGACTCAACACTGAAACCCTAGTGTATGAGTAATCTATCTGTTTAGTTAAACCCTACTGTGTATAAATTCTACCTTTTAACTATCGTAGAAGATGATGATGTAATCTCGTCATCCCCTAAATCTAACGATGAATCTAGATCACCAGTTTTACGGCCTACATTCTTTCTCTGACGTTTAGGTGGTGGCGTCTAAAATAAATAAATAATATCACTTTATATAGTACTTTGAATAGGTTTTCATCATTCAATAAATATTGATTATTGATATCATGTAATATTCAAAAATAAACAGAATACTGAAAGGGAAGTAACTCTATTAGTAAGTGCAGGAGGACCGCACTACACGCAAAACAAAAATCTACAAGATAAACCTGCAGACAAGACAGAAAATAGACATTGCACCAAATAAGCAAACATCAAATCCAGTGAATGATTTTATATAACCTACCTCTTCCTCATCTGTATTTTCTTCTTTATCGCTAGAAAATAAAAACAATGGTGATCAAACACAGACTCTACAAAATCTAAATTTTATCAAATAATGGGACTACTGCTGGCTTTCAGTAACAAATCATCAATATTGTAGGTGTTCAATAATTAAGGTCTATTTATGTAGCCAGGTACATGTAATGGCCAGGTGTTCAATAATTAAGGTTTATTTACCTTTCTTCTTTATTTGTTTCAACCTGTTGTTCTCTGTTTTGTCTTCCATTTCGGTCAGGTGTTCAATAATTAAGGTTTATTTACCTTTCTTCTTTATTTGTTTCAACCTGTTGTTCTCTGTTTTGTCTTCCATTTCGGTCAGGTGTTCAATAATTAAGGTTTATTTACCTTTCTTCTTTATTTGTTTCAACCCGTTATTCTCTGTTTTGTCTACCATTTCGAGTAGAATTCGACTGTGACACTGTAAAATGTAAAATATAATCTTATCATCTTCATTTCTATTTTTATATTTTTTAAACCAATGTGTTTATACATGTCTCATACATGTTTTGTTTGCTATGTCTGTGTTCTGCTGTGCAGTTTTCCTGAACAGCCTATTAAAAGCAGACGAAACAAATCAGAATACTTTCAAAAGAATATTTTTTTTTCTGGTAATGTTAATACCAGACTGGCTAATGCAGTTGGCAGGTCATACGACCACTGGTTAATACCAGTTATCATGCTATTGTTCACAATTGATACCGGACTGGCTGTCCTACAGTTATATCATGCTATTGTTCACAATTGATACCAGACTGGCTGTCCTACAGTTATATCATGCTATTGTTCACAATTGATACCAGACTGGCTGTCCTACAGTTATATCATGCTATTGTTCACAATTGATATTATTTTTCCTTTTGTACCAAAGAACCAGACAAATCTACCCTTGGGCACCTCAACCCTTTTTACCTTGTTAAAGATTTTAGTACTATAGACCAAACACAAAAATTATTTTTCTAAGATACTGCTACATCATTTAAAGAGAGCCTACCACCTGTTTTAATTTTAAATAAAGAACAATACAAATGGTCTCATTAATTATCGCATCAAATTGTTTTCTCCGGGTAAACTTGAATGGAAATGCATAAACATTGTAGGCTCAATTACCAAGTAAGCATCCCTGATAAATGTTATTGACAATAATACTGGATAATCATACATTTAACAACATGTATCAGATATTTAGGAAGGAATATATTGTTTTTGTATGACCTGATGATCAAGGGTGAAATAAACAGTATAAAGGGTGAGTTTTAGGTCACTAGGTCTGTTATTAAGTCAAGAGACATGAATCCCATATGTTAGTCTCAATATGATCAAGTCAGGGTGTACTTTAGATCACTAGGCCTGTTATTAAGTCAAGAGGCATGAATAATCTCAGGGTTTTTCTGCAGGTCCTTTGGTTTCCTCCTGTTGTTAAACAAACAGGTGAATTATTAACATGAGAGCACCATATGTTAGTCTCAACATGATCTAGTCAGTGTTAAGTTGATGTTAGTCTCAACATGACCTAGTCAGTGTTACGTTGATGTTAGTCTCAACATGACCTAGTCAGTGTTAAGTTGATGTTAGTCTCAACATGACCTTATACATGAGCAAGTTTCCAAAAGAATAAGAAATACAGATTTTAATTCCTTCATTTATACCCTCAGAAATAAAATGGGGTTTAACATCCTACTTTAACAGGAGACCTCCAGGTAAACGAGCCAACGTTTCACCCACTGAGCCACCGTGGCTCCCCATGTATATGCTGGGTGTGAAATAAAGATTTAGTCATCATAAATAAAACGGAATAAGTGTTACCTGATGTTCCATCATCTTTCTCATTATCATCACCTGTAATAACACATCAAATATAGCACGAGTTAGTGAGCGCTTGATGTATATGTTGATAAACTTGATCGTGCAACAGTTTCTGACTTAAAAACCACGGAAAAAAACTAGGGCAGTGGATAATCCAATAATTTATTGGGCTTCGATATTTGTAATAAACAGTCAGCGATTAAAGACAGCATCGTCTTGTATATGCAATGAATTCTCCTCCGGCTTCGCACCTGTTGCTAGGTACCGAGACAGCTAAGTCACTTGACACAACAATGACCTCTTTTGATCAATTTTTTATAGCAGGGGTATTCCCTGACAATTACAATGTTTTGAGAAGGATTTGAAGTAAAATTATAATAAATTAATTGATTTGAATATGTTTTTAAAAGTAATATAAAAATATTTTTTAACTGAAAATAATTATATGTAATATAAAAATCATTCATATTTGAGTCAAACTCATAAATCTAATAACAACTTGAGTCATATTAAAATATTCCCTGTAAACAAATTATTATACCATATGTTAATTGTGAAATGATCTTGTTAGTTTCAAGTGGATGTTAAACCCTAAAGTCTCTCTTACCTGAACCATTTTCTTTTAAATTTCTTATTTTTTCTTTTTTACTATTTAATATGGCCACAAACTAAAAATAAAAGATATTTATGTAGATGATAATAATTAACCGGGAGATCCTGACTTTGATCTTGGTGTTTGTCGAGAAGGTTTCTTGAGATTTTCCAGGATGCTTTCCTCATGTCACTGGTTCAGTAAGGAAAAGGATGAAAACTGGTGGTCCATTGAGTACGAGATGGTGTCCACATTAAAGAAGATCCAACAACTCGAACTTGATCAAGAGTAGGCAGAAACTACACTGTCCTGTAAAAATTACCATCACTAGAAGGCTTGATTTTGCTTTAACTCTGTAATCTTATCAAGTCTTTCACGTAATACCCTGCATATTTCATCATTAATTGTAGGTCGCCATGTCTGATTTGAGTGTTTATGTGTCCCGACCTCCGATTGCACAACGCTACTGTTCATGTGTGTGCAGTAAAGGGAGATAATGGCTAGATGTTGTAAAACTTGCAGTCATTGCTTCAGGAACATGGTGCTGTCCAGTCAAAATTTCTGTCCATTAAACCAATTTTCCTCCTTCAATAACCCGTGGTACAGGAACGTTAGACAGTAAACCATTTTTAGTTTTATTCTAACCCTAACCCTCAATAACCCGTGGTACAGGAACGTTGGACGGTAAACCTTATTTAGTTTTATTCTAACCCTAACCCTCAATAACACGTGGTACAGGAACGTTAGACGGTAAACCATTTTTAGTTTTATTCTAACCCTAACCCTCAATAACACGTGGTACAGGAATGTTAGACAGTAAACCTTATTTAGTTTTATTTAATAAAATATTTAAAACTAAAATTAAGAATCAGATTTTCTTATTGTGTCTTTTATTACACAAATACAAATGATAAATCATTCATACTTGGATGACATGTTATTTACCTTTGAAAATAAATCTTTTTCCATTTCTTCTTTTGCAGCAATATATTTTTCTAGCCTCTATAAAAGAAAAGTTGAAATTGGAAACAAACCTACAGAGCTGTTATTTTTTGACCTTGGGAAGAATTGTCATATGGTTAAAAAATATTTCAATAATTCACTTGCAGGTAAGTGTCTTTAATAGAGGGAGGAAACCAGAGGTCTCAGGGAAAACCAACGAGGTTGACAGGCAACTCTACACCTTAACGTGAAAATATTTAAAAATTACTGATTCACGAAACATGTCTAAAAACATGTAGAATGGACTAAACAGGCCCAAACGACTGCCATTCAATTTGGACTATTCAAGTATTTCACCAAACATAAATGATTAGAAATTTCAAAATAATTTTTTTCAATTTTCACTCATCCTAGGTATCCTCAGTGGTATCATTCCGTTCTACTCCACCATACCCTGGGTTCATTCACGGGGGAGACACAGTCAGTATCATCAATGGTATCATTCCGTTCTACTCCACCATACCCTGGGTTCATTCACGGGGGAGACAGTCAGTATCATCAGTGGTATCATTCCGTTCTACTCCAGCATACTCTGGGTTCATTCACGGGGGAGACACGGTCAAATTATCTGCCCTTGATACTTGTGCTATTTTTATCGACCAATCGAGTGGGTGAAGGGAATGTAAATCTTTTAGAGAGCTATCTTCTGGGTAGAAAACAGTGTATTTTAGTTAATTGCAAATCGTCGTCTGAATCTGTTTTGTCATCTGGGGTTCCCCAAGGTTCTGTTCTTGGTCCGATTTTATTTACCCTCTATACGTCACCATTAGGAGATATTGTCAGAAAATATGGTCTCAGCCTTCATTTGTATTTGATGATACTCAATTATATATTTCATTTACACCTAATTGTCCATCTTCTTTCAATTTATCAAAATTGCAACTTGAGAACTGTATTAGTGAAATTAGAAAATGGATGTCAAAGAACTTTCTAAAATTGAATGATGATAAAACCGAATATTTGTTATTAGGCTCAAGGCATCAATTAAGTAAATCTGCACAAGATAACCCCCCTGTTGTAATTGGTAATTGTGATATATTTTCATCTTATTCTGCTGTAATATTGGCCCTATCTTTGATAGTTTTATGCTTATGGGAGCTCAAGTAAATAATATTTGTAAATTGTGCTATTTTAATATTAGAAATATAGGTAAAATACGTAAATGTGTAACTGTGGAGGCCACTAAGTCAATTGTTAATTCTCTGGTCACTTCTCGATTAGATAACTTTAATTCACTTTTAGTTGGTTTACCTTTAAAGCTTATAGATAAATTACAAAAAGTACAGAATACTGCGGCTAGACTTGTTACTTTAACTAAGAAATGTGACCACATAACTCCTGTTTTATATAATTTACACTGGTTACCTGTTAAATATCGAATTGATTTTAAGATTTTATTACTTACTTTTAAATGTTTAAATAATTTAGCTCCTGTTTACCTCTCAGATCTTTTAGAACTTTATACACCTGGCTGAACATTACGTACATCAGATAAACTACTTTTAAAGCCCAAAACTGTTCAACTAGTCTCCTATGGTCAGCGCTCTTTTAGTTATCAAGCACCTGTTTTATGGAATAATCTACCATTTAGTTTAAGATGTTTTACATCTCTGTATTCTTTTAAAAAACAACTTAAAACACATTTATTTAATCAGGCTTTTAACTGACTCTGTATACAATCGTTAACATGCCCATAATCTTGTTGTTTATGTGTGATTTACATTGTCACTTTGTAAAGTGCCCCTGAACATGTTATATGAAAGGGTGCACTATAAATATGCTGTAATAATAATAATAATAATAAACAATGACGCTATGACTCGTATGTAAACTGTTTTTTGATTGGTTCAGAGTATAATGAAGTAGAATGAAACCCAGGGTATTGTGTGGAGTAGAATGGAGGGTATTGTGTGGAGTAGATATCACTGGGGATACAGAAGATGATTTTCACTATACGTACACACATATTACATTAATATCTGCTTTTTGGAACCGGGGGATCACGTGGCTAAATGGGTAAGACGCTGGCTCGCTAGTCTGGAGGTCGGGTGTTCAATCCCTGCATTGGCCGAGAAAGTTTATCCAGATCTTCCAGCGGGGTTCCCCCTTGTCAATGATGCAGGACGGAGGGCCTGACAAGGACAGCTGTCTAGTCCTTCAGATGAGACGAAAAACCGAGGTCCCGTGTATATATTGGAATGCACGTAAAAGATCCTCTGGCAGTTGGAATTCGATATAAGAGTAGGTGATAGTGCCGCTGCCCGGGCAAAATTTCCCTCATAGCACACTGTATGGCGTATGCCCGTCTTCATTAGCCCAGTATAGGAGCAGAACAGTAGGACATTAAACCCCATTTCATTTCATTTCATTTCTGCTTTTAGAACCATTTTCAACTATTTTAAGCTTCCAAAGAATAGTCGAGCCATACACACTTTAAACAAATAGATTATTATTATCTTATGAGGTGGGAAAATATTACAGCCATCACTTTGAGACAATATTACCCAAAGGCTTCACAATTAACGGCTTGGAACAGTTGCTCATGCTTGGTGAGGGTTCGCACTGCTCTTGTATATATATATATATATATATATTTATTTATGTTGATACATGCCTGATAACGACTTGTGAAATCTTGTTGAAACGTCACAGTGAAATAAACCATAGTAATTGTTATTTGAGACAGTACTACATTGTAATCATCTAAAACGACAACGCTCGATCTTGGTCGCTAACGATTAAATAAACAGATTATTATCTTATAAAGGTGCGTAAATATTACAGTAATATCAAATATATTTTAAATACTACAGTAATATCAAATATATTTTAAATACTACAGTGTCATCACCTTTAACGCCATCATCCGTTCTTGTGACAGTCTGTTATTATCTGTTTCTAGCTGTTTAAGTTGATGTTGATCTCGTTCACTGTTGACTACGCTATGATTTAATATCGTACATATACCAGTCCCTGGGTCATCTTTTAACATTAGAGTTATACATCCTAACTGAAACTATAGAACATATACCAGTCACTATAAACCTATACCAGTCACTATAGAACATATACCAGTCACTTTAAACATATACCAGTCACTATAAAACATATACCAGTCACTATAAACATATACCAGTCACTATAAAACATATACCAGTCACTATAGAACATATACCAGTCAGTATAAACATATACCAGTCACTATAAACATATATCAGTCACTATAAACATATACCAGTCGCTATAAACCTATACCAGTCACTATAACCCTGCTCTACCGTACTGAAACTATATTGTATATACATTATTAATATAATAAACTCCAGGAAGTCAAGAATTGTGGGAAATACCACTCCTCCTAATGCCTGCAACAAGATCTTAATATCTGTAAACTATTTAAATACAATTCGATCCCTGCATTGGCCGAGAAAGTTCATCCAGATTTTCCGGCGTGTTCCCCCCTTGTCAATGATTACAGGACGGAGGGCCTGACAAGGACAGCCGTCTAGTCGTTCGTATGGGACGAAAAACCGAGGTCCTGTATACACATTGGTGTGCACGTAAAATATCTCTTGACAGTTGGAATTCGATATAAGAGTAGGTCGTAGTGCCGATGTCCGGGCCAAATTTCCCTCATAGTACACTGTATGGCGTATGCCTGTCTTCATTAGCCCAGTTCGGAGCAGAACAGTAAGACGTTAAACCCCATTTCATTTCATTCCCTTGAGAGCGTCCACAAGATTTTTCAAAGTGATCAAAAGCATAACTCTGACAGTAATTATCGGAAATCGTTGAAAATAAATAGGATTCTTCATCTCATGACCATAAACACTGTGTAGGAATTACTTTAGCCTCTAGAAGGTCCACAAGTAAATATGGACGCTGGACGGACAGAGGTGACGACAATATTTGACCATATTTCAATCGGATATTAACATTAACCTTGAGAGCGTCCACAAGATTTTTCAGAGATCAAGGGGCATAACTCTGGCAATAATTATTTAAAATCTTTGAAAATCAATATAATTCTTCGTCTCATGACCATAAACACTGTGCATGAATTACTTTAGCCTCTCGAAGGTCTACAAGTAATTATGGACGCTGGACAGACGGAGGTGACGACAATATTTCAATGTGGGCGTATAAAAAGTGAACAAACAATTTACCTTAATATCATCTGAGGTGACATGTTTCTTCCACACCAATTCAGCTGTATCATCATTTTTAATTTTAACACTGTATTCAAAATTCACTTCATTATCATCTTTGATGAAGGCTTTTTCAGTTTGATTAAAATACGAGGTAAAATCCATTTTTAACCTTTTACGCTGTTTGTCCATATTATCAGCTGAAACTATAATAAAATGGAATTTATAGATACATTGTCACGAAAGTATTTATCCTGTGGTTATTTCCAATAAAAGCAGGGCAAATTTGGTTTATATGAAAGGTATAGACCCACAATCTTACTAGAAAAATACTGGATTACCCCAAAAATACCCATGGGGCAAGAACTGGGCAAAAATGTCAGGGTTTCACTAACTGGCAACCCGATTGTTGTCTGCCAGCTTATTGTGTGCTAGCTTGACTCCGGGAGCGGTTGTAATTTTTGATCAAATAGTTAGGTGGTGTTGGGAACATTGAGGGGTGTAATAAGGCCAAGAAGAGGGAGGGTCAGCTGGTATGTAGGATGGTTGTAATAAGACCTAGAAGAGGGATGGCCAGTCGGTAAATCGCTCAGGGGCGGAGGGTGCCCATAAATATATATTTAATTCTTTTTAACGTCGGCATGACCGGTACTCCTGCTGCTGAATAGGAAGTGGGGGTTAGTTGAACATAACTATTTTGTATACAAGTCCCTATATCCCCCATGTATACAAGTCCCTATATCCCCCATGTATAACTTACAAGTTCCTGTCCATGTTGATTGTCCATCCGTTAGTAACAAGTTAAAACCATCTTCTTTATCCACTGGTATCGTCGTTAACAGAAAAAACTGCTGACTTCCATCGGTTGTAATCTTTGAAAGAACCTTTTTACTCATGCTTTTATTTTACACTAAAACAGATTTTGTGGATATTTATCACAAAGCTAATATTAATGGAGTAGCTATCATGGATATTTATTAAAAAATTAAAATGAATAGGGTTGATATCAACGCGTGAGTTTGGGGGATTGATTGATGTCATGTCAGTAATCAGGCCTACTATGTCATTATTAGGTAGGCCTACATCGACCTGGCTAATATAGACCAAAGTTCTTTTCCGGGAACAAAATAGTATAACTGAAACCTTCATCTGTTGGCTTGAGACCAGAACAGGATACACTGGGCAAAACAGATAATGTGCATGGGCTAGTATACGTAAGGCCAGGGTTAGGGTTAGGTTTGGTGCTAGCGCTAGCCCTGTTTACATCTCGTGACCTTTGACCAAACTTGAAGTTGGCCTTATCAAATAGATCTAATGCATGTGCATGTTAACATGGTAAGAGTTATCTCCTCCTTTCTACCAAATTTCACCCAAACGAAATTACGTAGCTAATTAATTTTCACACTTTTTGATATTTAACAAAATTAACCTAATACTCATATAAAATTTAACTTAAAGAACAATTTTGATATCCACATGGAATGAAATTGATTAATATTTTTGGTTCACAAAAGGGTTTATTGTGGAGGTTTTATATTTGACAACAACCAACGTCATTCTACACTCACTGACTCAGGCCATTTAGTTAAATGGTTGTTTCCAGTCGATCTGACTCCAAATCTGACTGGAGAATATCAAAAGCTGGGTTGTGGGTAGGATCGTACCCTGGGAATATAAATGCCGATTTATTTGTGTCTGTACTTTGTGGCTGTACTTTGATACTGACATTGATAAAGAGCGAAGCTCCACAGCCCAGTGCTTGAGCAAATCTCTTTTCCAGTAACACTGGAGCGTAACTAAAACTGTCACCCACAGACTGTCGGTTAAAAAAAAATTCAGACCGGAACCGGACTGGGCAAACCTGGTAACGAGCATGTAAATTTACCAAATCTCACCCAAACGAGATTACGCATCTTATAGAAATATTTCTATGACACGTCTAATCAATGACGTCACATATTTTTGACATCAATGAAAATAATTCTCACAGTTACACTGTTTTGTTCTTTTTTTTTAAAACAAAATTAATTAATCATACAATTTAGATCTAAATTAAAATCAATTCGGAAGATAGGTTGCCACGCAACGAAACTAAGCACACAGCCGCTATATCGTCAGGGCAGTCAACAAGAGTTGTCGCATATTTTTACTCTTTTCGGTAATGAAACATCTATAATGTACATTAAAATCTGATTAACAGTAACAACTCATTAAGTAATTATCAGAAAACCATTAGAATTTGTTTGGTTTTTATAAAGTTCTGCCCCATGCTAATGTTTTGTATCCAAAACTTTTAACATCATGGATTTAGTTGTTCAAGTCATAAAAATTCATTAAAAAATCAATATACTTGTTCATCTCAAGACCTTTTAAACTCTGTGTATCAATCTGAAGTCAATCGGATGATAACTTCAGCCTCTGGAGTGTCACAAGATTTTTCAAAGTGATCACGAGCCATAACTTTGGCAGTAATTTTAAGAAATCGTTGAAAATCAATATGATTCTTCATCCCATGGCCTTGAACACTGTGCATAAATTTAAAGTCAATCGGATATTAACTTTAGCCTCTAGAGCGTCCACAAGATTTTTCAAAGTGATCAAGGGCCATAACTCTTTCAAAAATTATCCGAAATCGCTAAAAATCAATAGGATATTTCGTCTCATGACCTTAAACACATCATCAGAGCCGCTCTACTTCAGGCAATGCCTTACTGTTAGGCCTACATATATTATAGCCTATATGTGGATCTTCCGGCATCCACATCAATGAGGCGGGTATCAAAATGGTATTTAAAGAATATATTATTGACACATATAAAAAGTCAATCTATAAAAAAAATAACCCGTTAGCCTCTGTAATTTAATTATTTTACTATATTTGTAAAGTTTGTTGTTTATTTACAAATTTACTCCACTTTTGACAGCCATATTGTAACAAAACGTCAGATTGGTGGATTTAAACGAAACGAAATATAAAAGTATACATCTGCCAGCTTGCAGTCTATTGAAAATAAAAATTTGCAAACTTTTTAGCAATACAAATTTTTTTTTATTCTGACATTTGTTTCAGTGAAATAATTTTTAAAAGGTATAATATTTCTGATATCATTCCGTAGCAGATTAGTTGATAAATTTTTGATTTAGGTTAAATTTAATACTGGTTAAGGAAGCCTAAGTAAATGGCTATGAATATAAATGACTCAAAGATCGCGTCTCTTCCATCCTGCAAAATTTGATTCTATTGGACGATATAAATAGATGATCCACTCAAAATAGATTTTATTAGCTTTCGGAAAAATCAACGCGTTGAACTTTCTCATGGTCTGAAGAAAATGGTTAGTAAATTTGTCAATTAAATATCATTGAATACGATTTAACAATGACACAAAACGCCCGATTGATAGAGCACACAAAATTAATTGGCGGAAAAACATGGGCGAAATAAGTTTATCCGACTTAGTTCACTTAACCGACTAATCATGAAAATGATAAATTGAAAGTAAGACTATCAGCCAGCTGCATTAGATTTGTCTTTTCATTACTGCAGCAATTGACGTTGTTGTGGTTTTATGGACTAAAATGTTTTTAAGTGTTTGTCGTACCTCTGCCACCGAATATAGACTAAAAAGATATAAAATGTGGTGTCTGATAAGAACTGTTATAAATTATAAACAAATTCTTCGATTGTAAACAAACTACTTATAATATTAAAAACTTGCCTGTGTTAGAAATCACCTCTGGTTAAAGATGGTAAGCCTCTAACTCAGTATCATCCACAGTCTTCGACATTGCAAACATGACTGCCTGTCAATTTAAATCAGCATTGATGTTGCTATCTTACCGTGAAAATATGGGCTTCTGATATCCAATATTTAAGACAAAATGAAAATTTTAAAAAATTGGCACACGAATCAATTGCCAGAATGCTTTCGAACGCCATTTGTAATGAATCGACGTGATCCACGAGGTTAAATATATCCTACATGAGAATACTACCAGTATAGACTGGAATAACCCAAGGTAAAAAGATGCACTGCCATTCAGTTTTGACTCTTCAAGTATTTCGCCGAACATACTGTGACTGATTAGAAATTACAGTAAAAACCAAAACGATTGGGGGGCGGGCTAGTGTTTTAAAGAGTGCGTGTAATCTCTGTCATTAGCCCTGTTTACACTTGGCCCCGATAACCTTGCGATAAGCGCGCCGTTCTCGTCACAGTACCAGGCCGTGATAAATTTCAAGAAATTGACCTGTTTACATTACTCTAAAATAACCAATCTCAGAGCCGTGCCAGGCACGCCAAATGTGGAACTCTTTACAGAAAAGTTAATTTCAGTCCCTATGCAAATTACCCAGAAGAAAACAATTATGGCGATTTATTTAGTTTGCGCAGCTATTTAGACAGAACTGTCAAGTTTTGCAGGAATAAAGGTCAAGGTTCGTTTGGCGCATGCGCAGTAATCCGTACTGAAACCATGCTCATACTGGATAGCGTTTACACTACGAAAATTTAACCGTGCCGTGCCTGGCACCGTGCCGAGACCACCTCACTTCAGTGGGCCAGATTGTACAGCACGCTTAGGTTTGACCCGTTTACACTACAAAAAATTACCGTGCCTGGCACGCTTAAAATTTGTAATGTAAACGAGCTTATTGAGTCAATTTGTGTGGTTTCGAATCCCCGCTTGAATGTGACAAGGAGTAGGGTCGCTTGACCACCAGAGCTTGCCCACCCCACCCCTCTCTGGATGATATGTTGGTCTACTTACCATTTCTACATATCGTATATCCCCTAGCAGTGTATATCGTATATACCCTACGTATCTTTTATCTCCCAGCAGTGTATATCGTATATACCCTAGCAGTGTATATCGTATAGCAGTGTATATCGTATATACCCTAGCAGTGTATATCCCCTAGCAGTGTATATCGTATATACCCTACATATCGTATATCCCCTAGCTGTGTATATCGTATATACCCTACGTATCGTTTATCTCCCAGCAGTATATATCGTATATCCCCTAGCAGAGTATATCCCCATGCTGTTTATATCCTACACATACCAAAAGTTTAGTCTACTAATGTATATTTAGTTGTTACTGGTGAAAGATCCCCAGCTTGTGTTGCAGGATAAAAATGTTTGGTAAGAACAACCGTCGAGTCGTTCAGATGGAACAATATGGTAGCACATAAAGATCATTTGAAATTTGACAGATACAAATCATAGCACCGCTGTCCTGGAACAATTTAACACATAGCACAGTGCATGATTATAACAATACCTGGACATACAGCACACCTGTCACAGACATTGTCACAAGTTATTATATGTTATTATATATATACCTGACAGGTATCCGTTACAGGTGTCACTAACAGGTGTACCTTAATAAAGTATTTGTATACAAGTGACTCAAAATATTCTACTAATCAGTGAATCTTTTCTTTTTTTTTCAGTCGGCCTTGTTTAATTTCCAGAGTTTATTAACGGTTTTATTATTATTGATATGTACCTGTACTTACCTGAGATCTATTATACCTAGTATAATTGATAGAAATAAAACAGGGTGAGTACTCTCAATAGATCTATTGTCAGTGATGTAAGACAGTGGGCAACGTATAGTTGTTCGGATGGGACCTTGGAGGTTTCATGTAGACACTGGCGTGCATGTAAGGGATGAGAAACTGTGATCCCATGTACACACTGGCGTGCATGTAAAAAAAAGAACCCTTGACAGTTGGAAAATCGAAATAAGAGTAGGCCGTAGTGCCGCTGTCCCAGCAAAATTGTCCTCATGGCACACAGTATATCATATACCTGGCTGTTTTTATTAACCCATTAGGAGTGGAACAATAAGACCCCATTTCCTCGGTAACTTTGCAATGTTTATAGGCGAGTTGGATGGCCGAATGTTTTCGGTTCTTCGGTGTTGTACAAGGAGTAGGGTCGCCTGTCCAACCTTGTGGGTTTTCTGCGGGTCCTCCGGTTTCCTTCCACTGCTAAAGACCCCTATGCGCAAGCGAATTATTGAAATAAAATTGAACTATATGTTGGTCCCGAAATGACCTAGTTTATGTGAGTGGACCTTAAACACCATTTCTCTCTCTTGCAAATTTAATAATATTTTTTTTGTTTGTTTATAAGTGTTTACTGTAATTTTTACATGAATGCTTTAAAATCATTGTAGGCATCATCTAATTCTTATTTCAGCTTCCTAGGAATATTTTGGAAATTTGCAAGAATGGGTAAGTCTCTATATTGAAATCTACATGTCCATTGTCATCACCCTGATCAACACGTCCATATGTCTATTTTCTCAGGTCATCCTCAACCCATCCATGGTCTACATCTCTCTCTCTCTCTCTCTCTCTATTGCTGTCACCCTCAACCCATCCATCGTCTACATCTCCCTCTCTCTCTCTCTCTCTCTATTGCTGTCACCTTTTACCTTTGTAAGTTATTACATTACAAGTTTGCCCAACCAGGTTTATATGGTAAAGTGTTAGACTTTTTACAAGAGTTAGGATTAGTTAAGATTCTATCTGCATAAAACCTGTACATATCCCAATATGTTGGTGTGATGTTTTAGTTTAACCTCGTAAAATATGCCAAAACAGAGTTTATAGGCCCACACTTGTACATGTATGTGACAAGGAGTAAGGACGTCTGTTCATCCTTTTGGGTTGTTACCGGTTTCCTTCAACAGCTCAAAGCCTCTATGTGCACGCAAATTATTGAAATAAAATTGAACCATATGTTAGTCCCGAAATGACCTAGTTTGTGTCGAGTGGACTTTAAAACCTCTCTTTACTGTAGAGTCTGATCACTTTAAGAAATCTTATGGATGCTCTATTAATTAAGTGACTCTTGATTTGCACTTTGTATAATAATCATTAATACTAGGAAGAACTTGTGGACGACACAAGAAAACAACATCTAGTTGTTTGGATGGTGTGAAAACCCTGAAGACCAGTTGTGCATGTTAAAGAACCCTTGAAAGTTAGAATTTGATGAAGAGTAGACACAAAGGCAGCTCTCAGGGCAAATTTCCTTCCATGGCGTACTGAATGGCGTATATATACATTAACCTAGACAGATGTTAAACCCCATTTTCATTTCCGGTATTAAATTATTTTACATAATAAAGATATTTTACTGTGTTTATATTACATAATCAAGATATTTTACTGTGTTTCATTTACATAATCAAGATATTTTACTGTGTTTTTCAGGTGAAAGAAAAAGTCCATATGTAGCTGTTTGTTGTATTTCCATGGCACTGAGTATTTTATTCTGGTCCTGATCCTGTATTTATTTATATTAAATCAATAGACTAGTCCTATGTATAAAAGTAAACTAAACCTGATGATTTTATGACTGAGATGTGTTCAACATGGTGGAAGATGTCTATTTATTTATGGACAGGGTGCTCTATTTGTACAAACATTTTTAGGACTTGATGTATTCACATGTAAATATTTCACATTATTCATCACTCATTTGAAGGAGCAGTTCCAGATATATTTAAGTGAATAAAAGTGGTTAATTTGGGGTGAAAATCTCTTTGAATTTTTGTGGCATCCTTTCGAAGAAATACAAACTTTCATAAGTCCCTGAATTCCTGGCTGTTAAAGTGCCTGGTTAATCTTGTCTATAGTTTAAGCGAATTTGTAGTGGTAAGTGATAGTCACGAGTATCACGTCACTTGAACAAATGAAGAATGAAATTCATAGAATGAATTACGTAACTCGATTCATCAAATCTTATTTATGGTGTATCGTATTTATGTATTTATGGTGGCCCCTCCATTTTCTACAGATTCAGTAACAGTTGCCAAAGCATTCTAACATTTTCTAATCTTATTCAAATTACATTTTTATTTTTGTTCCAATTTGGACTACTTCCGTATCCATTTCCCAATCTGTTTGAAACCTGACTTTTAAATGTCAATTGGTTAATTACATTTTTGCTCAAGACATAACAGCTCTCGATTGGCTAGACAAGACATACCAGCTCCTGATTGGCTAAACAAGACATAACAGCCCTTGAATGGCTGGACAAGACATAACAGCTCCTGATTGGCTAGACAAGACATAACAGCTCCTGATTGGCTAGACAAGACATATTCTAATAACTACCTTGATCTGGTAGTTTTTGCAATAATAATTCAAAATTAGATGATGAAAAAAGAATATAGTAGATTTCAGTCAACTTGATTTATTCTAAGTTATGAGTGTTTGAAGTTTTGACAAGATAATCTTGCTACCATAATAATTGTCAATGTCAGCTATTCATTACATTATTGTATGTATAGGACCTGCTATCCCTGCATTGGTTGAGAAAGTTCATCCAGATTTTCTGGCATGGTTCTCCCTTGTCAGTGATGCAGGACAGAGAGCCTGACAAGGACATAATTTGTTAGATTTACAGAAGGATGAAGTCAGACAAAATATCAGACAAGACCTAAAAACTCTGAATGATGATTTAGAAAAACAAATTACCAATTTTCAGAAACATTATGATAATTTAAATAGTAAATTGATTGAAGTAAAAAACTGCACAAAAACAGAATGTGACAAAGTAGATGCACAGGTGGATAAAATCTGCTCCGAATTTCGTAAAATTGGAGAAAATATTAAAAAGGAAATATATAAAACTAGTGAACAAGGAGAATCCAAATTGGGGAAATTAATGGAGGACATTAAAAGACTAACTGAAGATTTAAAAGCTAGTGTTAAATATTCAGTGAATGTTTTAGAAGATTCGTCTGTTGTTCAAGTTCTACAAAGATTACCTAAAGTTAGACAGGAGAAAGATGAAAGTTGTTGTAGAAAATTGGATATACCTGATGTAAGATATTCAACATTTGAAGTAGTAGAGATAGATAAAACTTTGTTAACTAATCAACTTGGTAAAATTGTAAGTTGTCATCAGAATATGATTGAAGATGTTTTTAATGTGGATACTGTGTCAGGTTATAAAGATTGGTATAATGGTAAACAACACGTAGTTTCAGGTTTTACATGGCGTATCAATGTGTTAAACTATTTGTATTAATCCTGAATGACGTAGAAGATAAAAGTATTACGTCATGTAATGTTGACGTCACATATAAAGTTATAAATAAAACAGATGATAGACAATCTGTAGTTAAAGAATGTAATGGGACTGTTAAACCTGGTAGTTCTACCTGTGTTACTAATCTTATTGACTGGAAGAGATTCAGTAATCCTGTCATGGGATTTATTGATCATCATAGAAACTTTACAATTCAAGTAACAATTAATAAAATAACTGACATTACAAGACGTAAATAATTTGGTTTCTTTTATTCTGATTAAAACTAATAACTTATGGTCAATGTTCCTTCTAATTTTTATACACCATCATTGAAATTATTAAAATAACTGACATTACAAGACGTAAATAATCAGACTACTTTTATCCTGATTAAAACTATGTCCTTCTAATTATTATAGACCATCATTGAAATGTGGTTGTATATTGTCGTCACTCCAGTCCGTCCGATGTCCATCATTCCCTGTGAACGATTGTTGGGAATCTACCAACTATTCGTTATGACGGTAGGTCACGGGATTATCTGGCACAAATCACAAGCATCGTATAAACACACTTAACTATTGACTACTACTTCTGTTATTGATCCCTTGATTGGGGGAGGGGGGCAGCGTCTGGGGCAGCGTCTCAGTACTGGACGGGAAACATAGTGAAAGGGTGGGGGTGCTCAGTACTGTACGGGGAACAAAGGGATGTAGGTTTTCGGTCTATCATAGTCCAGTCAATCTGGGGTTAGACCAGAATTAATTTCACTGCGATGTATTTCAGAGTAGTTCCAGAATGGTGGAAAGGGGTAAAATTACGTAATATGCTAATTAGCATAATGTCATGTTTTATGTTATAACTTGGCAATCAAATGTTCAAATTACGTAATATGCTAATTAGCATAATGTCATGATTAACATATTGTCTTTATTCTATAACTTGGACATCAAATGTTCAAATTTGGTGGAACTTGTGTCTAAACCCATGTTTTCGTGGCCAGGGAAGCAAATAAACACATTTAGAATATAATCACTTTATTACATAATGCATTACATGTATATGCAAATTAACAGCCGCCATCAGTGGAAAACTTATTTCTTCCTCCTAAATCTGAAAGTCTTTGCCTTACATGTGGTTCGACCATACAACCAGTACCTAAGCCAATAATTTCAGGGTCAAGGCTGCTGAAAAACAGTAGGAGAACGGCACAGTTATATTACATTATATAGAATATGGAATTTAGACGCCTCGGTTATTACTGAAATAGTTACTTTTACTCCAAACTCAAAAATACATTTGCAATAACCTGAAATAACAAGTTGCCACACCCATTTTATCATGGTCAGGTTGCCACACCCATTTTATTATGGTCAAGTTGCCACACCCATTTCATCATGGTCAAGGAATATAATAAAAGTATGTCTGCCTCATTATGGACAACATTTGACTGATTGCATTTGCACAACAATGCACTGTTGTCACGGGGGAGTGTGTGTGTGTCGGTGTGTGTGTGATGGTGTGTGTGTGTGTTGGGGGGGGGGCACATAGCCCTGATGGAAACAAACAAGTTATCAAAGCTTCCTCACCAGAGTTGTCTAAAAAAAAACTCATGTCGGAGTTGCTACAGCTATGATATCCTTTACACTCACCACAAGTATATGATTGTAGTCCTGTCGATGGTTTTTACAAGTTCACCGAGTCAGTGCCACAGTGACACCCAGTTTTACAGTTACACCTGAACTGTCGTAGGAGCTCTTCAAATGATCTGTTTTCCCGAATGGTTAGCGAGTGCAGCATTTATTTCCTAATTGTCCAAAAGTTTCAGAATTTATTAAGAATTTAATATCTATATTTATTAATTGTTACCCTGAAGGATTTAACATTATCTATTTAAATAAAATATTGTTGTTTGATGTTCGCGTTATTAAGGGTAATAAAAATAATAATATTTTAATTTTACTACTACCCTTTACAAGACTAGCTATAATTAGACACAGAAATATGTTTCTAAAGACAGATAAAATTGTAAATATTTTCAAACTTTTTATTACAATGTTACAACATCAATTCCAGTACTTATATTTTTCTTTAAAAGAACAGAAATTAAATGATTTAATATGTATACCAAATCTTGTATATATAGAACTCCATAACCATAGCTGTAGCAGACGAATCTTCATTGACCCATTTATTAACCCTTTACACTAATGTTCATTCGTTACATGGTGACCAAAAGCCCACATGCAACCCATCGGTAAATTGTCCATTACTAGCCCAGTAATATATCGCTGTTATAAAACCTTTTAACATCCATGTTCTTCGCTAAATTGCTTCATGTATATATATCAACGATTATGTTAGGCGATTTATGATAATTAACCTGAAATGTGATTCAATTATATCGACTTTCGCTTCAGAATTCATTGAGGTGTAAACAGAGGTTGTTCCGTACCCTCCCTCGTTATCATACAATTTCAACCAATCAGCAAGCTCGCTTGCTCAGATTTCATACCGATATGGCGAAATGGAACAGCCAAAGATTAAAAACACGTAAATAGTAATGGCGACGATTTTCGGAAGTTAGTTTCATGACAGTGTTCATTAAGTACAAATTATCAATTATTACAACGGTCGCCACACGGGCTAATTGATTTTGAATTTCATTCGCCCGTACTGACTTTTACTCGCCATGGGCGACCGGGCGAGCATTAGTTTCTATCCCTGCTATATTTTCAAACTCATGGGGATCCTTATCAAGATCATATACTTCTACAAAATTCTGAAAAACAAAAATATATCGCATAAATAAAAGAAATAGAGACAGCTTTATTTGTGTTCGAAATTCGACAGGTTGGCATGATAGTACCCTACCATTGGGGGGGGGGGGTATTTTACATATAGAGCCAGTGACGAAAAAACTGCCCCATAAGTAATAGAAGGTCTGACCATACTAATTGGCAGCTACTGGTAGGGCAAATTCAAAATATACCAAGTCTTACGAGTAAGGCGATTGGGATTCTAAAGAGTAGGCACCGACAGAATTTCTATAAATTTTTTCAAATGATAAATTGATAAATAGCATTGAATGATGTTTTCAGCCTAACTTTAAAGCCAAAAGTCCCTGTGTATAGTTGCTAAGATGTTGTTTTATATTCGTTATACATTTTTAAAATAATAAAGTTTACAATATCCGCCATTATACTACCACTATTTCATAACTGCAATTGAAATCTATTGAAATTGAATTTTCTATAAAAATCTACTAGTTTAGTATGACTATAGTGGTGCTTTTAACTGGACATAACTTGCGTGAGAAGTTAGAAATTCGTGATTTTTGGCAGTTGCAGGTATTCCATAATTTAAGTGTAAATTTAAGTTTTTCACATAGCCAAGGAAATGTAACATACAGCCTTTGAATACTGATTTAAGGTAACACAGTTAGTTAAGTGGAATAATTAAGTATTTTTATTCAAATTTCAGAAAACCTTTGTATACGGGTCCAGAACTCACCTCAAACCCGCTTATTCGGTATCAAAGCAGTGTTTTGACGTCAAAATAACGGCAGTGTGGCGACATGACGTCAGGGCGTCACACCATAACATGCTGGCGTGGTGATAATTTTATTTTCCGATTCGTTGATATCACTGTTGTATCTAATGATAATACATTTATTGCTCTAAAACGAGCCGTTTCCAAGATATGGAGGCCAGAAAGTCCAATTGGCGGCCATCTTGGATTTATGCTAATTATGAAAAACGCTACAGGGTTTCAGCTGACAATTTTGAGTTGGGAGTCCTTTAGACATCCCTTTACTAGATTCTAGTAAAAGAAATTCTTTTGCAATTTGTTCTCGGTAGTTTTTTGTATTTCTCTCCGTCTAGAGGTTTCAGCGGGGCATTTGACTGGGAGGGGCAGATAAATATGGCCAAAAAGACTTAAGTTTGCCTCATAAGTAATATGATCAGAATTATTTCTAAAATGTTGCCATACAATGTATGAATATAAAAAATATAAATCTGACCGGAAAAAGTGGGGTTATGCCCTTTTCTGACTGCCTTAAAAAGTGCTGACGGGGTCAAAATTTGCCTCATTTATATATCTATATATATATTTGTGACTGTCGTTTGTCTGTCTGTTCGGGGTTGGCGGCTACACTAGGTCTGCCCCGAGTCTGAAATTTGGGGTATAGGGGTAGCTCGGACCGGGGAGTAACATAGGCTAGGTGGCGTTAGTCTATCACTTCCGGTTTCGGAGTTATGACCCCCGAGCGAAGCGGGGTATCCTGCTAGTAAGTAATATAGTTGAAATTGGTGCCAAATGTTAGTTATGTACCAGCCGGTTCTAGAAATATCAAATCTGATAGGTTTCGGTGGGGCATATCCCTAATCTGACCACTTAAAATCTGCCCGATCTGCCACGCCCACAACACGATCAGAAATAGTTTTGAAATGTTGTGGTGTTATATCTGAATCTTAAAATGTAAAATCTGACCGGAAAAAATGGGGCCACGCCCGTCTGACTGCTCTAAAAAATGTGGATGGTTGCCCAAATAGACCAACAAATGTAATGGATTTAACATGATTGAAGTCATTGTGGGACGAATTACTGACCTGAATCAATCCATATATAGCCATTTATATTCTCGAGGACATTACATAGACTAGTCAAATAAGAACAGCTGTATTAATTGGGTAATGGCATTAAATGAATCCTTTTCTGGTACGCTGACCCGTTGTGTATTTGCTGTTAAACGCTCAATTATGTATAGCTGCAGCAGAAGTCGATTGGGTTTGTAATAATAGTAATTACTGTTAGGCATTAAGTAAACACCAGCGGATTGAGATCACTTGTATCAAATAGCAGATTTGATTAACCATTGTCGAACTTTGGCATAATGACGTAATAGCATGTCATATTGGTCACAGCGTTCCACACTTGCAAGCTAAAGATGACACCGAGTTTGTTAAAATAGCATCTCATTCTAAAGGAATAATGGAAAAGAGAGACAGAGACAGACAGACAGAGCGAGAGAGGTAACGTCCACTCAACAAAAAGTAGGTCATATCGGGACTACCATATGATCCAATTTCATTTTAATAATTGGCTTGTGCATAGGGGTCTGTAATAGTGTGGGGGGGAGGCCTACTCCTTGTCACATTCAAGCGGCGAAAGGAATCTGAAAAATGGCAAAATGCATTCTAATCGATTTTGAAAGTCTTATAGACGGACACTACCCCCTTGACTATAGTGCCCAGGGCTCGAATCCCGAAGTGAGTCGAGAACATTCTAAGAGATTTTACAAGTCCGGTTCTCACTTACAACAGTTGGAGCCTACAGGGCTGACAAGAAAAGTCTAACAGTTTTACACACTTGCATGCAGGTAAAATAATGTTTATAAACTGAAGAGGGACTGGTAGACATAAACGTCACTGTACCCCCCCCCCCTCTCCCTTGCAATACACATGTAACCAGAGAACAGATGGAGTTGACAAGACTTTCCGTATTTCAACAATGGACAATGGATATTAAAAACTGCTATATCACAACCATGTCTTTCTTTATGAATGTAAAATTGTTTAATCATTTTCAATACAATTCTAAATAATATACAGGAAGTCGTCGTGTCATCTGTAATGATTAGTATATATATATATATATATATATATATATATGGTAAAGTGTGCATTTCCGTCAAACGTAATTATCTCGTTCGTATACATCAGTTTATGTCGTTTCTTAAAATTTTTAAATATGTTTTTCTGCCGAAGATGTTATTTATTCACATGGTATGGAACATTTATAATGAAGTTGCAAGGTGGTCTATATTTCTAGACATTAGCGTCTATGTAATAGAACAATGACAGTGGTTTCAATTTCCAGTTAAAAAATATAGAATTTACTTTCAACAGAACAGGTGAGTCAAATACTAGTTTATCAACAGTTTCTTTTATAGCTATAGAAACAATAGACAAATTGGCGTAGGCAAAAATAATAAACAAACGTTTGCTAGGTATTTTATTTTGATTTTTTCATCCCATGAGAAAACAAATATAGCAATGATTTTATAACCTATACAAAATATAAACAAATGTTTTATGGCATGTCAGCTCCAACTGGGCTATATTGCGCCAAACATATGGTGATTATTTCGAGACAGGAAAATATAAACAATATGAAGTGTGGTCAATGTGGACGGAAAAATTCCATTTAGTTTATTTGGTGGAATCTGGTAAAAGTGTCAAAATGCTCAATGGGATCCCCAATGCATATATAAATCTCTCTGAGTAGGTCAAAGATCACATTGGTCGCCAAGCCCAATCTACCTTAAATGCAAATCTCAGTACAAGCACAAAATGGGTATCAAACTGTTCATTTGGATGCCCTAGGGCAATTTGAATCCTTCTGAGCGGACAATTTCGGGAATTACCCCGCGTCTGAATAGGCCACCATTGATCGGCCACGCCCAAACCACTTTATATGCATATGTCAGTACATGCCTTCAGTACAAGCACTCAAATAATATCAAACTGTTCCTTTGGACCGCTTGGGCAACTTCAATTATTCTCAATTTCAATAAAGGCAATTAACCTGTTTCTGCGTAGCTCAAAAGTAATCATTAGTCGACAACGCCCAATCCACCTTCAGTACAAGTATAAAATGGGTATCTAGCGGTTCCCTGTACCATCCTTGGGCAATATAAATCATTCTGAGTCACCAATGTTGGGAATTAACCCACTTCTGGGTAGGTCAAAAGTCACTTGATGCCCAATTCACTTTCAAACTTTGATTTGGATCCCCCGGGGGCAACACCAATCCTTCTGATTAGTCAATTATAGGGCTTAGCCCACTTCTCAAAAGGTGAAAGATCACCATTTGTTGGCCACGCCAAATCCATCTTAAATGCATACCTCGGTACATGCTTCAGTACAACATTGGTATCAAACGGTTCCTTGGCCCCCTGGAGGCCGAGATCAACCTGGCACACTAAATCCTTGACAAGAATTACCGAAATATTGTGTTGGTGAAACATTAATTTAAACCCCAAATCATTCCATTAATTAGATTGAGAATGTGGATCATCACTATTCTATTCTGTTTACAGGGGAGGACTTTGTCATTCAATGCAGATTAATAACCAAAGCCACTCTCATTACTCTGATTTAAGGTACATATACACAGACAAGGAAATATGGTTTATCACATACTTGGAATAATACTGGGTTCATCCTTCACCTTATCAACAGTAGGAGCCAACAAAAAATGTCTTGAAACAGTGGACGCACAATACGGTGGACTTCACGCCAACTGTTCCCACATTAAAACTTCAAGAGTTCCAGAAGATCTTCCCGACAACACCACAACCCTAGATCTAACCTTTAACAACATTAAAACTCTGTATAATAATGATTTCAAATATCTGACTCAACTACGTTATCTTGATCTCA